AATCTAATTGATGTCTCTGAATGTCTCTGATAAATAGTATATATAATATTTGTCCTGGTCCATCCTTGTTATAGCAGGTATCAGAGCTCTGTTCTCTCTTAAATTGCTGAGTAATATTCCGTCATATCTTCACATATGCATACCTCTTCGGTGCACACTCAGGTTGTCTATATGTCTAGCAACTGAATAATGCTGCCGTGGACATTGGCATAAGGCTATGTTTTCTTGATTTTTTTTTTTTTTTAATGTATTTGGTACAAGGTCTCACTACACTTGTAGTGATCCTCCTGTTTTCAGCCTCCCCAGTGCTGGGATTACAGGCATGTGCCACCACGCCTGGACTCAGTCACCGGCTCAGCACACCTTGGGGCAGGGCCAGCACGGCATGTGGTACTGTGGATCGAACCCCTACACTTGCCTAAGCAGGTGCTTAGTCTGTTGAGCTATATCGCCAGCCATAGGGTATCTTAAAAAAAAAAAAACAAACAAAAACAAAAACAAAACAATCCAAAAAACTATACATGTCCTGTGTACATTAAAAATAAATCTTTTATTTGGCACAGGGTCTTGCTACCCAGCTCGGACTCATAATAATCTTCTTGTCTCAGCCTCCCCAAGGTTGGGATTACAGGCATGTGCCACTGTACTCACTTTTGGGCAGGCACAGAATGTGGAACCTGGGTACTTGCACTTGCCCGGCAGGTGCTTAGACCACCGAGCTATCTCCCCAGTCCTGTAAGGGTATCTTCTGAGTCCCTGTGTTCAGGTATTTTTGTCATGTACTCAGTAGACCGTTACATTCCTTAAGGGCATGGTATCTATTTTTAGCCATCATTTTTCTACCCTCTGGCACCTGCATGCGTATTGCTTAGGAATCAGTTAATGTTGAACTTCTCAGAATATCTGTGTATCCTAACATTATGTAGTAGATTGAGAACATGACAGCTTAGAACTGTTCATAAAACTGGTATTAGAAAAAAGTGGAAGCTTTTGTTGTTGTGTTTCATTAAGGCATATTGCTAAATTTAAACCACTTTGGGAGAAATTGCTTTAGCCTAAGACTCCTCTGGTAACTGAGAGGGCAACTAGGTTATGTCTCATTTTATGAGGGTCTGTTTTTGTTTTTAACAGTGAGTGCATAAAAATACAGCCAACTGACATCCAGCCCGACATATTCAGCTATTTATTACATATTATGTACACGGGGAAAGGGCCAAAACAGAGTGTGGATCACAGTCGTTTGGAGGAAGGGATTCGATTTCTTCACGCTGACTACCTTTCTCACATTGCGACTGAAATGAACCAGGTGTTTCCACCAGAGGCTGTGCAGTCCTCCAATTTGTATGGCATTCAGATCTCAACAACCCAAAAAACAGCTGTCAAACAAAGTCTGGAGGTCAAAGAAACTCCGTCCACTAGCAGTGGAAACAGAGCAGCCCTCCAGGGTGACCACCCCCAGCTGCAGCTTTCCCTTGCTATCGGGCTAGATGATGGCTCTGCGGACCAGCAGAGGGCCAGGCCTGCTGCCCAGGCTTTGGAGGAGCACCAGGAGCCCGCGGTGTCCGTCAAGCAGGAGAGGGGTGACCCAGAGCCTGTGACGTCCCAGAGCAACCCCTCACCCTCATCAGAGGTGACAGACCCCTCTTTTATAGAAAACAGTATCAAAATACACTTGTGTCATTACTGTGGAGAACGTTTTGATTGCCGTAGTAACTTAAGACAGCATCTCCATACCCATGTGTCCGGATCCCTCCCCTTTGGTGTTCCTGCTTCCATCCTGGAAAGCAATGACCTTGGTGAAGTGCACCCGCTGCATGAGAACGGCGAGG